ACACATTTCTTGTAGCAAGATTTTTATCTTTACAGTATTACCAAGAGAGAATAAGAAACTAACATAAAAAGAGCATTTTAGTCAAACCGGTTTGGCTCAGTGGATAGAGCGTTGGCCTGCGGACTGAAGGGTCCCAGGTTTGATTCTGGTCAAGGGCATGTACCTTGGTTGCGGGCACGTTCCTACTGGGAGGCGTGCAGGAGGCAGCTGATTGATCTCTCTCATCGATGTTTCTGACTCTCTATCCCTCTCCCTTCTTCTCTTTGGAAATTCAATAAAATATATATATATTTTTTAAAAGAGCATTTTATTTATAAGAATCAATTCAATCAAATGGGTCCAAAGTTCACAAATATATTGCAAGACATGTTTTCAAGATAGTACAGAATAAAGTGTAATTGCCACATGACCAAGGTCACAAATAGAAAATAAATAGCTCTCCCTGAAAGTTATACAAAACAGTGAAATATAAAACTACCAGAAACACTTATGGCTTGGCTTTCTTTGGAAATGGAGCCTTCCTGAGGTGACTTAGACACTGCATTAACGTATATGTAAAGAGATAGAGAGCATGGAAAGAGATAGATGGATTACCCGTTATCCAGGGGCCAGACTACCAGGCTGCCAGGGAAGGAGTATTTCCTTGGTGGGTCTACTCTGACTTGGAAAGAAAAGTCTGTTCTCAGGAGAGCCTCTAGATAAAGAAACTTCCACCCTGCAGCCAACAGCCTTCTAATTCTGTTGGGCTTTTTAAATTCTCATGTTAAGGATCCCTTATGTTGAGAAAACATAAAGATTAATAAGAGGAAGAGGACGATGAAGAAGAGGAGAGAAAAAGAAGAAAAGGAAGATGTACCAATTTAAGTTAAAAATATAGAGCCACAGGTAGATGCTTGAAGAAGGGACACCAGAAATTAAGATTCCCATTTTGCAGACGAGGAACAAGAGAAACAGAGGCAACTAACTCTGTTTTAGGTAATAAAGTATAAAAGGAACTCATTTGTTTAGTGACTTTAACAGTTTCAAACATTATCATTTATTAATTCAATGAAAACTCTTTCTGTCTCTTTCTCTAGATTCTCTTCTTCTTCATACCCCTAAATGGAGTATCCCTTAAGGCTCTGCCTCCAACCCCCTTCTCACTCATTCTACCTTCTCTTTCTGGATGAACAATCTTATATTTACTTTAGAAATATTTTTATATTCCTTATATTATATTTCCTTTAAGAAATTATGTTTCCTTTAGATTAAAGCTTCAACATAACCACTAGGTAACCAAATCCCAAACCTCTACTTTCACTTCTGGAAACCATTACTCTAGTCACATATTTCCCATTGAGATGATCAGGGAACAAATCCTACAAAGAGAGAAATTCCACCCCTAGATCTGGTAGTGTACTCTTCATATACAATTACATGACCATTGGTCATTATTTTCATAATGTGTTTTATCTGCCCAGAAGGCAATAACTAATTTCATTAGGCTATACACTCCTTTTACAGAACACTTTAAATTTCACAAACACTATGTTTCATATATGTAACCATCTCACTTAATTGTACAGGTATTAGATTCCCATTTTTGCAGACAGAAAAACAGATTCAGCAAATTTAAATAACAGGGTCACTTGAAAACAAGATAATATTTTATGTTTCCTATCACCAACAAGGATCTAATAATTGTCTATTACCTCTAGATCTGGATATGTCTAGAAAAAATTTCCGTGAGGTTTCCCCTCTTCTATTTTCACATCCTATCTAATAATAGACAAACATGGTAATTAACCATACCTCCACTACACTTCCCATTGGCTAATCAGCAGGATATGCAAATTAACTGCCAACAAAGATGGTGGCCGGCAGCCACGAAGCTGAAGCAAACATGAGGCTTGCTTGCTCCAGTGATGGAGGAAGCCAAGGTTCCCCGCCTGCTGTGGCCCAGCTCTGAGCTCCAGATGCAACAAAGTTTCAATTATAGAAGCTAAACAAACCCAGATACTTGCTTTATAATAAACCAATTATCCCAATGGATAATTTATCAAGTGAGGACACCCAGAAGGAATATACTGAAACTTGTTTTGTAGGTTCTGTTATGCATGCCCAATCAGAAAATGGCAGTCAAGGCCGTATCGATGAGAGTGGGGGAAATGAGAAAGAAGCAGTTCCTGAGAAGTCTGTGGAAATTTGTGCAGATAACTGGAGCAGGGGAAATGCACTCAAAAATGCGATGGGAGAAAACATCGAACCTGTGAAAATCCTAGTGCCTCCGGGAAGTTCAGCACGTGAAGGAAGTGAGAGGAGCCCCCCGTTAAGGATGTCTGACTACAGCTTAGGCCTGCTCCCCACTGGCAAGTGGACATCCCCTGATGACTCCCAGAGGGATGTCTGATTGCCAGCTTATGCCCAATCCCCCCGGGAGCAGGCCTAAGCCAGCAAGTGGTCACCCCTGAGGGGTCCCAGACTGCGAGAGAGCACAGGCCGGGCTGAGGGAGCCCCTACCCCTGAGTGCACAAATTTTTGTGCACCGGGCCTCTAGTCTAACTATGAGTCCAATGATCTCCAGGAAACTGCCAATGTTCCACTGCAGAGAATATGGCATCCTTTTAAGTAATGGTTCTCAAAGATGTTCCACAGACCCCAGGGTCCCTGAAGCACTTTTAGATAGTCAGAAAAATCAAAACTATTTTCATAATAATACTAAGATGTTACCTGAATTTGTTACTATGCTGTATTTGCACTGATGGTACAAAAACAATGGTGGGCAAAGTGCTGGTGCCTTGGTATCAATCAAGGCAGTGGCACCAAATTAAATAAATAGAGAATTTCACTTCAGAATGGCCATGATGAAACTGTAAATGTTATTAACTTTAATAAATCGGAACCCTTAAGCAAGTGTCAATATTCTGTGTAAAGAAATGAGAAATATACGAAAAGTACTTCTGGTGCATACCAAAGTACAATGACTGCCTTAAGGAAAAGCACTGGTGTGATTGAATTGTGAGCTGTTCACACTGTTTTATGGCTCAAAATTTTTACTAGAAGACAACAGAAAAACTGGTTCTTCACACATTTCCTCCCCCCCCCAAAAAAAAAATGAATGAAATAAATCTATCACTTCACAAAAAACAACTGACAGTCTGTATTGTTAATGACTAAAGTCAAATTTTCATGTGAAAATCATAATTCTGGGAGACTTGTATTTGCCACCATATCTTTACATTCCCAATACTTAAAGATTTTCTAAAGATATCAATGGGGATAATAACAAATGTGGTTTTGTTATATTGTATAATATGTGTCAACATCTGGAGAATGTGCATAATTTAGAGAACCCTTATTTTCCAAGTGTCAATGAAAAATGGTATAAAATAATGTGTGTGTAAGATCCTTTCAAAGTGTAAGAGAGACCAATGGATTTTAATATAACAAAGTGTAGAGATTTTAATGATATGGATTCATATTCTACATTGCAATTAATCTATAATAAATTTCAGTCCTGTTCCTTGTCATATGTAAGGCTTTAGACAACCTAATTTTTCTCTATTCCAGTTTCCTTACCTGGAAAATAGAATATTAATAGTGCCTATCTCACCAGAATTACTGTGAGAATTAAATAAGATAAATACATGTAAAGAATTAGAAGAATACCTGGCACATTGTAAATACTCAGTAAATGTTATTTTCACTTTTCTTATCATCTTTATGTTCCTTAAAGTTCTCATATATATAGTCATCTAACATACTGAAAGTCATGATTTTTTTTATTTCGTTTTATGACCCTGTAACATATTTCATTCTAGGAATCTAGGTTCATCCACATTCCTTTACTTCCAAAATTTTGTTCTTCCATTTCAACTTGATAGTTTGATTTTTAAACTCATAAATAATTAAGAATTTGGGCTAGGAATCTCAGCAAAAAAAACACAACTTAAATTCCATCCAGTAAAATGTACTAATATTTACTAGATATCTAAGAGCAGGTTATAAGTAAGAAAACATTTTTAAAATATAGAAATAAAGTTTCCAGAAATAAATTATACCTATTAACCAGATTCACTATCTACATTCCATATTAATAGAATTATTTAATCAAAAAAAGTAAACCACCAAATTCCTTTTCTAAAATCAAAACATTAGTTCTCTGACTTTTTAATCAAAAGAAAAAAGCTATGCCCTAGCTGGTTTGGTTCAGTGGATAAAGCATCAGCCTGCAGACTGAAGGGTCCCAGGTTCAATTCCGGTCAGGGGCACATGCCTAGGTTGCCGGCTCGATCCCCAGTAGGGAACGTGCAGCTGATCAATGTTTCTTTCTTATCATTGCTGTTTCTATTTCTCTCTCTCCCTCTCCCTTCCCCTCTAAAATCAATAAAAAATATATTAAAAGAAAAAAGCTATTTAAAACTTAAATTTCATTCAGCCAGATTCTTCTAAGACTAAAGACTAAGCTGAATGTGGTGAAAAATGAGATGTATAATAACTTGGTGAAGAAAGGGTAACACTTATGTGACTAGATAATTAGCAGATCATTCTAAAGGTGAGAGGTCAGGCCAAAGCATGTCTGTCTGCTCAATTGTTTTGCTAGCACAATAGTTCATTCATTAATTCAAAACCACTAAAAGAGTTTTCATCCACATTAAGAAGGTAGGAAGGATTTTTAAAAGGGGGAGGCAGAAAAGTATGGGTGAAATAGAATGAAGGAAGGGTGGTCCAGACCAATTTTGATAGTTCTAGATCAACTAAAGAAACTAAAAGAATTATTATTTGTATACAAGGACTCTCCTAGAATTCCCAAAATTGAGTCTAAGAAAAGGGGTCATTGTTGAGCCCCAAGAGTAGTATATACATATTCCCTCCCTACTCTTTTGACAGTTTACAGATACTTCAATACTTTTATCTACATGCCATGCTGGCTAAGTTGGCTCACCGATTAGAACAGGCTTATATGAACTCCCTCAGAGCCTGCAGTCACTGTCCATCCTGGGTGAAGTGGATACACTTACCCATACTCATCTTGATTGGCAGGTTTTCTCTGCTTGCTGCTTCCACTAGATGTCTCCGGACTTCCATCACTGCCTCTTTGTGCTTGGTGTTCAGTAAGGCTTCCCACAGGGCTTTGGCTGCAGTATCACTGCAATAAAACCACAAAGAGCTTTAAAATAATTTCTACCAAATAATGGAAAAGGTTGAAAGCAAAATGATTTCTAAAATATCCTCTTTGAGCACTAAAGTAGTCTTTCCTACTGATAGATTCTAGGCATAGGATTAAATGAAGACTATCTAATCCATTTTAAACAGGACAAAATATTGAGAAATTAGGAAGACAAAACCAAGGCAAAAAAAAAAAAAAAGAGGATGCCCTGACCGGTTTGGCTCAGTGGATAGAGCATCAGCCTGCGGACTGAAAGATCCCAGGTTCGATTGTGGTCAAGGGCATGTACCTTGGTTGCGGGTTCATCTCCAGTAGTGGGTGTGCAAGAGGCTGCTGGTCGATGTTTCTCTCTCATCGATGTTTCTAATTCTCTATCCCTCCCCCTTCCTCTCTGTAAAAATCAATAAAATATATTTTTTTTAAAAAAAAGAGGAATAAAAGCTATATTGTGCTTTGAGAAGTGGGGGAAAACTATATGATATTTTTTAGATATGACCCTTTTTTTAGATTTTGCATTTTAAAGTATTTCAGAGTACAGTTCAACATTGCTACAGTAATAATTAATACATGTTCAAAAATGATTTATCAGTGATTATAAGCATAACAATTTGAGATAACATACATGTATGGAAAGCACAGAGCAATTAGCAATGAGAATTCCTGTTAAAAAACCACTTGATAGAATTCCTAATGAGTAGGTTTTCTAGTGAATGAAAATCAAGAATTAGGCTAAGTAACCAAGGCCTTAAGTATCTACTTTGGGCCTTAGGTTGGAAGGATGGCACATCCTTCCCCATAAACCATGACAACAGAAAGAAGCCCTGCATTGTGCAGGGTCTCATCTGGGCTCACTTGTCCAACAGCCCCCTGTCTCACCCACCCTGCCATGTTTAAATTATAAATGAGCACAGTGTTCTTCCCGGAAGACCGCTACATCAGCCAAGCATACACATTTGTAGTAACATTTCAAAAGCTGAATATAAAGAAACAAAGATGACTTCTGTCCCTTTCCAAGGACTTTTTCCTTCACTTAAAGCTCTACTAACATCTCTTACTATCCAGTTAGCTAATAGTGTGAAAATGAGTGGATTTTTAAAGTTTGGTTTTAAAAGTTATATCTAATAAGATATTAATTTTAACTTTAAAGTTATACCTAATAATACATATCTTTTAAGTTCAAATTTGATTGGGAATAATGGAATGATGTACTTCGGCACTGAGTTTAATGTCGAACATACTAATCTTTCATTAAAGAGTTAGTTGTTTATTATCTTTTTTTTTCTGACTGAACTAACATCACTGCTCAACATATGCCACTTGTTTAGATATAATCAAAACTGTCATTATAACTCTGCACCCAATATTCTATGTTTAATTTAAATAAGCAAGTAAACTCCAAGCCAAGCCCCATTCTCGTGGTTGAGATATAAATACAAGGCATAAGCTTTCAATGACTTAAAGGAAGAAGAGGCAGAGATACAAGCAAAGAAATTATCCCCAAAAGAAGTGTGATAAGAGGTGATCAATGCTGCACAGATTTAGCTGGTAGCACAGAAGGGGGCTCTAATCCTGGCTGGGAGGGCAGAGGCTCAGAGATTGGCACAGATACATACATTCCAAAAACCGCCAAGGGAAGAAGTCATAACTGAATCTGGGAAGGAGAATGGTAAAGAAAGTCCACAAAGAATATATAAAACCTTTATCACAAAACAAGAGGAAGAAGGGTGTTTCAGAATGTGCAGATTCCTAGGTAGACAACACTAATGAGGACTGTTTTGGTTTATGCTAAGGTGCCAGGGAAGGGGCATGACAAGTAAGGGCAAAAGAGAAGGTGGGAGCTACTCCCATAGAGTCCTGCATTACTTTCCAAGGCTTGTCAACTTCAGTCTGTAGGTAACAGGTCGCCAATGAGCATGTGCTTGATTTCACATTCTGAGAAGAGTACCATAGCGTAGCAGTTGTGAACACAGTCTTTATCATCATTCAAAACTAGGTCTATTTCCTGCGGGGTTTTGGGAAAGTTACTTAACTTCTCCAAAGCTCTGAAGGCAATAGAGAACCACTGCGAAATTCTGAGCAGGGGAGTTAAAGTCCCATTTCCTCAGTTTATAGT